TCAATATGAGAAATTCGAAAGCCTCTCAGAGTGTTTATTTCAAGCATTGTTGCTGATCGTATCCTATATGCGAGTACTTCTTCTCCCCTAGAACTTATAATCTCTAAGAACAAAATGATACAATCAAGAAAATGAATATGCACTAGCAATATATATATATATATATATATATATATATATATATATATAGCCAGCAACTAGGCGACCTAAAAAGCTTCTCATAAAAAAATGAGGTAGCGATATGACACAGTCTAATAGCCATTCATCTATATCGAATGATTAATTACCACGTACAAAACAGTACTGTAAAATCGTGGTCTGATTCAATGTGAGCAGTATATAACCATAGTCAATCTCTGGGTCAACGCTTTCTGCTAAAGAAACACGATGTAAAAGTAATTTGGTTGAAATTTTCAAATGAAGAATTTGGTAAATTAGTCTTTGAGTATCGAATCTGGGTTGAGATGGTCAGAGTTGAATTAGATCTGCCTAATTCAGACGCGTGTCATCGATTCGTCTATGCAGATTGAAGCGAAGTATTTACTGCCATGTATAAAAACTAGCATTTATTCGTTACGTGCAATAATATTGTTAAAAGCGGCCATCGCAGTTTTTAAATGTCTACTTTCATTTCTTATATTATAGGGATAGCAAGAGACAAGAACGAAGCTGTTGCCTGCAGATGTGCAGGACAAAAAGGACCGGCCGTCAAGGGCTAATTAGCCTTTGATTTTACCTGAATGCTAAGCAGTTTATAACTTATCGATTCAAATTATTGTCTCGTATTAGACGAATTGTCGTATCCAAATGCCAACCAATGACTGCATATCCATTTTTGTGAAGTTTTTTGCGTGTATAAAATGATCTACTTTTAGTTGACATTTTTGCGTCTGAAGCGGCCATCGATTTCGATCAAACATCGCTTGCAAGCATTTGGAAAAGACGACAAGCTCCACAATTCCTTTTACACAAGCCGTTGTGCCTTGCACTACACAGTAGGCCTGCTTCACCTTTCGAATGCCTTTGTAAACCATTTAAGCCTGTAAAATGAGCAATTTTAAAGTCTATACTGATATGGAGATTCTAGCATTATCTTAACGTTCATCAACAACCATTTATATTAAAATAAGTGCCTACTGAGTGTAGGTACTGTCTACCAGCTTTTAGACTTTTCTTTTGCTTAAATGTGAACGATTCCGGTTATAGGGAAAGACTTCTTCTCACACATTTTATGCTTTGTAAATACGTGGTTTCAACCAGACGGCGCCACCTGCCACTGTCGCTGCAGTTATATATACAATCGTAATGAGAGCTGCATCGCACATGGCCTACGGGATTTATCGCAGTTAGAGTTTTTCTTTGGGATCTTTTTTGAACGGAATGGAGTTTTCTATAGTTGCCAGGAACTACACTTTTCTCACTGTGCGAAAGAGAATATCAACTATTTCTAATTGTACGAAAAAACTATACGTCTCGTGTTAACCATCTGAGGAAGTTTCATGGCTGGTATCTATGCAATACTTAGGGCACAGCAGCAAGGATCATTGTTATAAATAGCGTTTATCATTTTCCGTTGATAGCAGATCGAGACCCTAGTATTGAGGATGGATTTCTTTTGTCTTATACGTTTGATATACGGACTCTCGAACGAGCCTTGAGTCTCATACCATGTTTTTGATTACTGTAGTAGTACAATCACAGTCACAATTGTGATGGTGTCAAAAACGTTGCACCTTTTCGTATCGCGTAACAGCTTGTTTATGGCCATAGGCAAAATCATATGTTATCTTCTATTGCTGCCACTTCAAAAGCAGGACATTCACGCTGGTTGATTATAGGACTATGAGATCAACTGACCAGCCAAACGTATCTGTCCGGTCAACAACAACTCTCAACACGAAATAACCTCGAAGTTCACCTTAGCTTTTTGAATGAAACCTATGCTCCTGTCCCGCACGACGCTTCATCTAATACACAAATGGCTACACGCGCACACAACTCGGCCCTTCGAAGATTGTTTATACTTGACAGTAGCTTGTCTCTGTGCTGTTCGCTTAATTCTGAGACTGTTTTTGCCAACGATCTTGCCAATAATCTTAATGAAAAATGTTTCTGTCGAATATTGCGATTTACTACGAAACGCCAACGTGAGAAATCAATACGATGGACGCAATCAACATAGAGACCCAGTAGCGCAGCAACGAAGCACAAAACGTAGTTCTACTAAATCCATCATTGAACCAATCCAGTATAAAGTATATCTGAAACGAAATGAGCAAAGCTATTATTGTTATGGCATCGGCAAAACGTGCCCATCATCAACTAAATAATTGCCTCCTTATAAAATTCGAAGGTCCTTATTACGTTTGTACGGAACGTAAAAACAGAGTTCAAATAACAAAACTGTCAAAGTTATACCTAAACAGCGCATTTACTTAGAAGCCAAAGTTCTAATTGTTGATGAACTATATCAACGCATCGTAACCTGCGGCGTCTGTACCTGATCTTTTTTGAATATTTTTCATGAGACTATATGGGAAATATAAGTATATGGAAAATATAAAGCATGCAAACGCAATTCACTTGGCCTCTGGATGTTAATTGAAAACTGTCAGGTACTTGACTTCGAGTAACTGCATTACTTTTTTTTAGTATTTTTATCGAATCGTCTTAGAAGGAGGCATATTTTTAGTTAAATTAACAAATCTTGTTGTATTTTCATCTATATCAAATCAAACTAACACTAATAGTATATCAAATGGATGAATCTTTCTCGATGCTGTCACGGAAGAGTGGCATTAAGGTAGGGTAAAATTGGGGTAACGACAGTTGCACATAGCATTTCTACCCTTTTACATACTCGACATTATTAATGCGATGTTTTCTACTGACGCCAATTATGAACGGACACAACGTTTAGCCCGTTGTTGAAAAGCTACCAAAAAGTAACATCTTTCCTCACTTTTGGCACTTTTTTTCTTATTTTAACACTTAGACGCTTCAACTCATCTGTTATCATGCGCAAATCGCTCTAGAGAGTATCGTTTTTATAATACATCATTGCTGATAGGTGAGCTTGTATTACGGGGTTTTTTTCGAAATCAACAAGGCCACAATAAATGCTTTTAATTATTGTTGGAATATTGTCCCTGATACGGCCTCCGAGGTCCCTCAAATTCTCTCCTATGAGGCTACAACAAAAGGCTCTTCCGTTCCCTTTGTACCAAGCAGAGCTACCTCACCTAATATCATCACACTGTATCTCTCGATAAAGATTTGCGTTATATCTGGCATTCGAGCCGATTAGAGAAAATCGACGGTATTAAAAATAATATTGCCGAAATACATCAGTTCTAATTGGTTTCCATTTGTATGTGCTCTGAAAACGAATATATATATATATATATATAACGTTATATATAACATAATATATTATATAGTGTTAATATATCTAATCTATTAATTATTGATAATAATAACAATAATATATCTACATATATATTATCAATAATTTTAGCTAGAATTCTATTATTATTCTATATTTGCTAACCTTTCGTTCTAGAATTTCCTTTTAAGTGAATTTTTAAGTAAAAATTTCATCTTAAATATTTTATATTTCTAATAGTTCCTATATTGTTAATTATCTTATTAAATTTATTGCTTATTAGCTGTTCGATTAGCTTATTATATTTAAAAAATATAAGTTATATCTACAACGAGAAACTTAAAAGCTCCTTATTTTTTATTAGGCGCGATTCGATTAAACACGGCTTAGGTTATTATTGGCTCAACATACATAAAAACAGTTTGCCGAATAAACTAGGACCTCTTGGCTAAAAAGTTCAAATTAGGTCGTTCCGTTGCGCCGAGCGCAACGTTCGCTGTATGCTCTAAATCTTTGAACAGGTAGACGTAATGAGCCCTGGGTATTTAGTTTTTGAGACTTACAATTTAAGCCATCTATTCCATATCTCTGTTTTGTATTTCCGTGCCCGTAGTGCGACGCACTTTTCCACAGATAATTTAAGGTAAAATTTTTCTGTAAAAGCCTAATAAATTTTGCTGCGTAACGGAGTTTCTCACATGCTTTTCTATCGCAAACTATCTATAGGTCCATATATTTTTTTTTGTTATCTATAGGTCCCACTAACGGTGGTAGGGTGTAGACTAGCGAATTTGTATGCAACTTATCTATATCCTACTCCACAGCAAAAAAAGAAATGCTTTAAGCATGTGATGCGTTCGAAGCATATGTGAAACGAGAGACAAATACGGTATAAGCGTTGTAATCATACCTTCGAAATACTGAAACAAGCAATTATACGTCTCGTTCTCATGACGTATCTATTTGAAAACGTACATACCCATAGAGGCCGCCACTGGCTACACTTTTCTATCGCAAAATTTTGCCCTACATAGAATCGTTAGGTTGCATAGCTAAATTAAGATATGTATCGATGATTTCTTTCTAAAAATGCCAGCAAATGATGTCTTTATTGTGCATTTCAGAAGCTTATTTGTTACATTTGTCGTATGTAGTGAATAAATTTTTAAACTGGCATCGAAGCCTATCTTCTTAACCCTTTCTTATCGTGCGTCCAGCCTATCCATTGAGCCAATAAACGCTTGTCTTTAATAAACGTTATGCTAGGCATAGAGTTTCAGAATCAGTAAAGTAATTGTTACTCCTCACCAATTCGAAATGTATAATGTGTACTCATAAATGGCTCACTTATCTCTGAACCTCTTCTGCATTATAGTCGTAGCTATCGTAGTTCTAGCGGCTCAGCTGTACGCCGTCATTGTGCATTTAGTCGTCAGCAGTTGCCCGCTAAAGTTCTTTACCTACTGACTTTGGCTTGCTCACTATAAGCTAGCTAGATACGGCCAACCATTGACCATCACTCCGCGAACGATGAGCCTATTAAGCCATGCGGCGGAAAGGAGGCAGTGACCGAAAGAGAAAGGGAAATTGTGTAGCGACAACACGTATGGTGACCCCGCATTCAACGTCGGTTCGCGCAGTAGACGGACGCTGCCATCGGTAACCTCTTGCGGTAGGCAATCGTTGACGCGGGACGGCCAACCTGTGTATAGTGCTTAGAACAAGGAAAAGCAAACAAACCAAAAGGAAGACACAGAGAAGATCGCCACCCAGAGCAAGCCGTCTTTGCCCCATGGAGTTAAACTGGCTCGCAAAGAAGGCCATAGAAACACATCATAAATAGCATTTTTTTTTGAGCCTAAGTGTGTTGAATTCGTGGCAGATTAATAATTCAATTTGTTGACTATTGCCGCTTGTACAATACAAACGTGGTAGGTGTACGAATGTAGGTGCTGTGAATCGTGCTAGAAAGCCAGTTATCGCTTAGATAGGTTTAACAACGTAGACGAGCTGAACGTTGCCTTTTTGTAGTCACTCTCCCAGGTGTAAGCTCTTGCTATGCCAAAAGGAAAACAGCAGCTTTAACGGGAATACGATGAGACTGTATATACCAGGCACCTGCCTGGCGCAACTACATCACTCTCGACAACATTTACGCCATTGTTCCAATGATGTTCGAGCAATTCAAAAAATCCTTGTGGCTAATAGAGGGGAAATTGCTATTCGTATTTTTCGAGCATGCTCGGAAATGGGCATTCGATCTGTGGCCGTATACTCTGAACAGGACAAAATGCATATGCATAGACAAAAGGCTGATGAATCGTACCTGATTGGCCGGGGACTACTGCCGGTCCAAGCGTATCTCAATATACCAGAGTACATAAGGATAGCTAAAGAGAACGACGTCGATGCCATCCACCCTGGGTACGGTTTCCTGTCGGAGCGCTCCGATTTCGCAGATGCATGTATAAAAGCAGGTATTCGCTTTATTGGGCCTTCTCCGAAAGTGATGGCACAAATGGGCGATAAGATTGCGGCGCGAAAGTGTGCCATCGAATGTGGAATCCCTGTTATTCCTGGCACAGATCAGCCAATTAAAGATGCCGATGAGGCGTATAAGTTCTGCAAGGAGCATGGCTTACCCGTCATGTTGAAAGCTGCTTATGGTGGAGGCGGTCGAGGAATGCGCGTTGTAAGGAACCTTGAAGACCTTAAAGAACACTTTAGTCGGGCAGTATCTGAAGCTGAAAGCGCGTTCGGCAATGGTGCTATGTTCATCGAACGCTTTATTGAACATCCTCGACACATTGAGATTCAGGTGTTGGGAGATAAAATTGGCCAGGTCGTCCATTTATACGAACGAGACTGCTCCGTTCAGAGGAGGCATCAAAAACTTATCGAAATTGCCCCCGCGCTGAATATACCAGAGAACGTACGGCAGGCAATGCACGCCGACGCTATAAAGTTATGTTCTCACGTCGGTTACCAGAATGCCGGCACAGTTGAGTTTCTTCTGGATGAAGACGGCAGACACTATTTCATTGAAGTCAATGCTCGGCTTCAAGTAGAACATACAGTTACGGAAGAGGTCACAGGAGTGGACCTGGTTCAATCACAAATTGAAATCGCTAGCGGAAAAACCCTCAACGATCTGAAATTAACCCAAGAGAAAATCACGACTCAGGGATGTGCGATTCAGTGTCGAGTGACAACAGAAGATCCAGCAAAGGGTTTCCAGCCAGACTGTGGTAGACTTGAAGTGTTCAGGAGCGGTGAAGGATTCGGCATCCGTCTTGACGGCGCTTCGGCCTTTGCAGGAGCTATAATTTCACCGTATTATGACTCTCTACTGGTCAAAGTGATTTCACACGGCACAGATATGAAGGCTTCAGCTAGCAAGATGCAACGCGCTCTTAAAGAATTCCGTGTTCGTGGCGTGAAAACCAACATTCCTTTTCTGCTTAATGTTTTCGAGAATCAAACATTCCTAAGTGGAAAGTTTGACACCAACTTCATCGACCAACACCCAGAACTTTTTAAGCTTGCGCCAAGCCAGAACCGTGCTCAAAAATTACTCTATTACCTCGGTAATGTGAGCGTTAATGGTTCGATGACTCCGCTGGCTACAAATTTGCAGCCCGCTAACATTCATCCTATTGTACCACAACATGATAGTTCTGCAAAACCTTATCAGGGTTTCAAACAGATCCTTGAAAAGGAAGGTCCAGAAGGCTTCGCAAAAGCTGTTCGTCGTCACGATGGACTGCTGCTGACGGACACGACCTATCGTGATGCTCACCAGTCGTTGCTAGCCACACGTGTTCGTACAATTGACCTGCTAAAGATCTCGCCCTTTGTCGCTCACAGGTTTCATCATTTTTACAGTCTTGAGAACTGGGGCGGCGCAACATTTGACGTCGCGATGCGATTCCTCCGTGAATGCCCTTGGGAACGGCTGGCTGAGATGCGAAAACTTATTCCAAACATTCCCTTCCAGATGCTCCTCCGTGGAGCAAATGCTGTCGGGTACACCTCATACCCTGACAATGTCGTTTACAAGTTTTGTGAAGTAGCTAGAGAGACCGGTATGGACATTTTCCGCATTTTTGACTCTCTTAACTATTTGCCAAATATGATCCTCGGTATTGACGCAGTAGGAAAGGCAGGCGGTGTAGTGGAAGCTGCAATATCATACACGGGTGATGTTTCTAATCCCAACAAAACAAAATACAACCTTGAGTATTACCTCAAGTTGGCTGATGAACTTGTAAAGGCTGGATCGCATGTACTCTGCATCAAAGACATGGCTGGCTTGCTCAAGCCTGAGGCATGCCGCCTGTTAATTGGATCCCTCCGTGAGCGTTATCCAACAGTCCCCATTCATATTCACACTCATGACACGGCAGGTGTAGGAGTCGCATCAATGGTAGCCTGCGCTGAGGCTGGAGCCGATGTCGTCGATGTCGCCGTAGATTCGATGTCAGGCATCACTTCGCAGCCGACAATGGGCGGTCTCGTAGCCTGTCTCCAGCATACACCGCATGATACGAAACTAAACCTGAGGGATATCAGTGATTATTCCGCGTATTGGGAGCAAACACGTACGCTCTATGCACCGTTTGAATGTACTTCAACGATGAAAGCGGGCAACGCTGACGTATACGAAAATGAAATACCTGGAGGACAGTATACCAACCTTCAATTCCAGGCATTTAGCTTAGGCTTAGGGGAACATTTCGAAAAGGTAAAAAAAGCCTACACTGAGGCGAACCAGCTGCTGGGAGATATTATCAAAGTTACGCCTTCATCAAAGGTTTGTATGCAACAGTCACAAATAGTATATGAAATATGCATATAATTACGAGCATCACGTTACATTTTCTAGAGCGGAAGTGGTAGTGATTTCAGTTGCGATTATATAAAACGTATAATTGTTCCATATTAGTTTAGACAATACCCTGTCTTCCTAAGATATCTGTCGTTAAAAGCTCGTTTTGAATGCATCATAACAAATTATAACAAATGTTAATCATCATTAAAATGGCATCAACAATGATCTTGTTTTTGAGATGTTTTATTATATCGAGCTACACAAATTGAAACTATTTATCGTTTATTTATTATTATTTAACAATGCCTTTAGAATGTGTTGTAATAGCGATGCATTGAAGCTCGATCGATAGTATTCGATCTTCACTAATACTATTAGATACCCTATTTGGGTCTCCTATACCCAGTATAACCCTTAACAAATTGTTATTATTTTAATTAATTATATTTTTCTATTTCACCATATTTATAAACAATTAAAACCGTCTATTAACAATGTCATCGCTTGCTATTCCCAAAAAAACATTAGCGGCCATTTTGAATTACGTACGATCAAGGGTTATTACAAAAACCAAGCAAACCGGAACCTCATATCCAGTTCAGCTTTTTTTAATTCATCTTTGCTCTTGTTGCATTCAGCTGTCCATTTACTATACAGAAGCTCACAGATTTTTGGAACGGCCTGAAATCCTGTCCTTCCTCTGATCGGAGAATTATCATTTGAAATGCATAATAAATACCCCAACGGGTGAACTACATTTGCTAAAACGACAACAACCGTAGCACGAAAAAAGCTAATGCTGGTTCTGCTTTCCCACTCTTAGGCACTGCACGAGTAAAACAAAAGACCGCTAGAATATATTCTATTAAATATATTTTTATACTAAATCCTGTTGTTTAACTCACAGAAATATTCCAGAATATCGATAGAAACGCATTGAAATAATAAAATGTAGACCTAATCGAATATTTTATATGTGTTTTTTAGGTCGTAGGGGATCTTGCTCAGTTTATGGTGCAGAACCGCCTAAAGCCCCAAGACATCCTTGACAGGGCGGAGGAATTGAGCTTTCCTACCTCAGTTGTCGAGTTTATGCAAGGATATATTGGTCAGCCGCACGGCGGTTTCCCTGAGCCCCTCCGATCCAAAATTCTCAAAGACACACACCGTATCGAAGGCCGGCCAGGTGAGTCACTACCAGCACTGGATCTCGACGCCCTAAAAGAGACACTGCAGGAGAAATTCCCAACGTACAAGATTGAAGACACTGAAGTCATGTCGTCTGCAATGTACCCCAAGGTATTTGATGAATTTGCTAAATTCCGCAAGGATTATGGTCCCGTCGATAAATTGGACACGCGCGTCTTCCTTGTGGGGCCAAAAGTTGGGGAAGACTTTGAGGTGACTATTGAACGCGGAAAAACGCTTCATATTAAGATGCTTGCAGTGTCTGCTAACGTGACCGACAAAGGAGAGCGAGAAGTGTTTTTCGAGCTAAATGGACAATTGCGGTCGGTATTCGTCGTTGACAAAACCCTCGCTGAGGTAATCGAGGCTCATCCGAAGGCAGACAAGTCGAACGCCGGTAGCGTTGGGGCACCTATGCCTGGTTCTGTGATCGACATCCGTGTGAAGGTTGGCGATGTCGTGAAAAAGGGTGACCCGCTTGTAGTACTTAGCGCGATGAAAATGGAAATGGTTGTCCAGGCCCCGATAGCTGGAAAAGTCAGGTCCGTGGCGGCTGCTAAGGATATGCGCATGCAGGGCGACGACCTCCTTGTAGAAATTGAGCCTAATGAGTAAAGTACCAAGCAGTGTAATTAGTATGCGCAGATTACTGCCTATGCAATGTGCAATCAATGATCAATGAATCAGGACGACGCAAATGTTATCAAGCGAACCAACTGATCGAGTGTACACCATGCGGGTGCTGCATCTGGGAGGACGTGTGTCCGAGAAAAAGCAATAGTTATTGAATGGAACTGTTTTTATTGTACCTATTGTTGATCAGTTCCAGCAACGCAATGATTCCGAGCGGTTCTGTGGAAAAAAATATTGGAAACAAAGATGCATTTGTTCCGATAGCTAGAAAAACAAACATTGAAACCGACAACGGATCTTGAATAGTCTTCCACTGTGCGACCAGCGTATCTATTTATTATTTTTCTATATTCTAGAAGTAGATTGAATTGATCGGTTCTCGGCTGGCAAATTGTGCGAAACCCCTTTCAAGCAGGGTTGCAAGCTTTTAGTTGTCTTTACAAAAGGTGTTGCTCAGCTTTTCGAGATGTCGCATCTCTGCTAGCCATTTTTGCTTGTTGTGTTCGGGACTGAAACCCTATGCGGCCAGTCACCTGGCAGACTCAGCAATTTTTTCGTATTCAGTTAACGAGCATGGCTAAATGTTTGTAGATACCTATTTATAGCAAAGTAATTACACAGTCATATATCTATGATCTATTTGATCATTGTAACAGAAACGAAGGAGCGGGTAGATACAGTAACAGATAGAAGAGAAGTACGTCGTAATAATAACTCTATACATTTAAATAGCTTAGATGAAGTCGATATTCTGAGCTATTGAATAAATTACAAACCAAGCCATCGAAAGTCATACAATTTGTTCATATACCCATATACAAACATTGTCCCTGTTATATACAAAGCTTCGTTATGAACAATTACACATACAAAATGGCGGAAGTTTTTGAATTGTTACTACAGATGTGATGTCTGTTAAAACAAAAGTGAGAAATCAATAAATAGCTTTTAACAAGATTTTCTTTGTTTTTGTTTCTATCATTGCCTTAATATGTCTTATATAATGTAATCTAACACATTAAAAAAATCTTATTAAATCGTGAGTAAATCACTTACAGGCGTACTAGCGTGAACTTATTTGCTGCGTATCTTTACGGACCTAGGTCAAAAATATTGCAAATTTCTCTATAGCCTTCCATACAAATTGACTATGTATTTTTCCATTCCAATTTACATTGGCTTGGTTATTTTGCTAAAGAAGGCTAGATGTTACTGTGTTGAGTTTTTTTTTTTTTGGATTTTTTTTGGATTTATCATTTTTAAGTTGGCAATTTTCCATCGCCGGAAATTGAAAGGACAGCTTTTTCCAGAAACTGTATTGTTTAAAAGTTAGTACCAAGCTGTTTTCAATAGACATCCGGTTGCCGCGGCAATATCGCCTAGTAACTATCGTTGTTTACCATCTCTTTAGATAATTAGAAAATAATTTGCATTGATCGATCAACGTTGTATTGAAGCAACTATATAACATCAGTGCATCGCACAACCATTGGAATCTACAAGTGCTCGCCGACAGACGTCGACTAGGTGCAGTTACTGGTGCTTCATGAAAGCTCTATACTAGGGTCGATTGTCGATCGGTCAATGGTCTCTGTGGCCTGTTTTTAGAAGGTACAGCGAGATTTGTCACGATTCGAGTTCCGCATGCAGATGCACGCCTGACTTCCGTACGCCTGGTTTATGCTTCTATATATGTATTATACGAACACATAAATACATAGGATTTAATGTAAATAACGTCTAGCTTTCGCGGACCTCTAAATAGGCGCAAACAAACGGATGGCCAGCGTGCCGCGGCGAAGAGAATATACCAGGAGAAACAGCGGTACACAGGTGTCTTCTATTTTCCATGCAGTGGCAGCGGTCAGCAGCAATGAGGTTTATGACGTGTATCACCAGTTGGGGTTTCGCAGAGTTGGAACCTGTTTTGAGGTCGGAAGTTCGCTAAATTAAACGGCTAACAAAGCTAAATAACCGTCGATATGATTTACAAAACGGCGCTAAAATAGAATATTAGCTGTTAAGAAATGACGACGAAAGTAGATGAGCCTAAATAAATTTGCGCTAGTACCTCTGTATTTTGCTAGGCGTATGTGCATCAAGAAGTAAAGTAACAAATGAAAAACATCAAACTCAACGAATAGTCCTTCTTGGTCCTTTTTGGTTTGGAAATAGAGCGTCAAGGAAGCATCTCGCAGATGACTTTTGCCTAATAACTATCAGAAAATACTATCTATTAGATAAATATTTCGAACAATATATTGATATGGAACTTACGCCATAGCAAAAGTATGACCCTTTTCACGGCGTACTATATATCATAGATAGACTTTATATGAAAATTAGGTCTTGCTTCCTTTAGTGATTGAAACCACAGTGTCGATCGCAATAGCAATGGCGTTAATAACTATTAGAAATCTTATTATGTGTTTTGCCGTAAATCGGCATCATCCACTAAAACAGATATCTATAACGTTAATATCGCTGGACTATGAAACAGAGGTCAAGTATGCCTACATGAGTAGTCGTCCATTGACTCGCAATCGGTTCGATACGACAAATAAATATAATTAAAAAAAACATACAATGATTCATACAGGTTCGATAAAATACACGAGGATCTGACGAAAATAGCCTGACGGTGGTTTGCAGATTTACCTGTGATCGTGAGATTGTTATTAGTTTTTTGGTATTATCTGCTACAAGACAATAAACACTTCTTAGAATTCTAACGAAAAAATGCACCGTAGAATTGTTTAGATCGTGTAACAAAACACAATGTGATGAAAAAAAACTATAGAGTGAGTTTACGACATTTATAACCCCCTTGTATTCACTAAACACGAAGCGGTCTCCATTTTGCATGTCGACAAGATTGACAAGACTGAATAGTCAACCGTTACAGTTTGGTAGCATAATAAAAGAGCCTTGTGCTTTTCGCATATCTCCTTTAATGTTTGCGTATTTACGTTAAAAGTTTACAACTAACGCTAAAGAAGGCCAGGTCAAATCAGGTTAGACAGATGATTCGAATATGTAAGAACCAGAAAAACATATTAGCGATGTAGGTAAGTTCAACCAACCATCTGGCTCGGCAGCTATCATCTGAGGATGCGATACGAGGAACAGCAGTGAGAATACTGCGAAACTCCCGAAAAAGGCCATTGGATCTGAAAAACCGAATCCACGATAGATAGACCGCTACATGGACAGATTAAATTTGATTGATTGATCCTCAACGTGCGGAGATCAGCTATGAAAGAAACTAGCTTCATCGTGATGTCACTCGCGAGAACAACCTGTTTCGTAGCGTCTCGTAAGAACTAGGCACAAAGATCCCGATAGACGACGATTCCAAAGAGATTCAAAGCTAAAGCAATGATTTCATTTGATTGGAAACAGATTAAAACAGGTTCTAATAAAAAAAAAAGCTTTTCATTAACTACCGAATTCCATTGTTCACAGCTTTACGTATAGCCTCTAAGTTTACAAAATAACGTAGATCCCTTTCGGAGAATCATTGAAAATGTACATTCAGGGAAAAGCACACATTTTGTTCATTGTTCCAGTAGACATTGCTGGTTACGTTATAAGAAAACCTAACCTATATTTAATTTGAAAGCTAGAATGCTGCATTTTGTAAAATAGCTATAGCATAGCCCATAATGGCATCAATAAAAATGAGTTCTTGTCATTCGCCTTCTTTTATCAGCCATATTTTTTAGGCACAAGTGTTACGTCCAATTTTGACAGACGAGATAGTGGGCATACTGCTTAACGCGTAGAGTATCGCGAACGTGGAACGTATCTTAACAATTTTATCAATCGTTTTGAGTGGCTGGCAGCTCATTTTACAAAAGTTTCATAATCGCGCTGCTGACTGTGAGCAGAATACTCCTACAGGATGCAAAATGCGTCTCACAATAAACTTCAATTATTTTCTTCGATAACCAGCTTCTACTCAATCCTGCAGTTACTCTCGTATTTGCTGAATTTTCTTGCTACTACTATTGCTACATGTCCGTAATTGCTGCATCAGGGGCTTAATGAATATCAATCTTAAAAAAGCAATGAACGATATTTAAGCAAGCTCAAATTAACCTAAACATGGATTACAGTATTCTTGCTTGTATAAACAGCATACTAATGCAATCTTGTTAACCATAATTTCGAATTAAGAGTTGTTACAATGTCCGAGGGTCGCAGATCGGATAATACAAACTGCGGAACATCATAAAACCCGAATCTTATTTGACGCGTGGCAATTCCTGTTTTCCGGAGAACCTTTCTATATATATATATATATAGAGGAAAACATTTATATATTACTTATATTTGGAGGTAGTTTAGAGCTGAGGATGCGCATAAAAAATCGGATGCTGTTGTCCTGCCGACCAAAACACTTCGATGTAACTGAAGGCGAAAATATCCATAGTGAAATTTGTCACCCAAGTATCTAATTTTCAAGATATGGATTTTTCAATTATGGTCAACACTGACTCAAAATACGTTAGCTCTTGATTTTTTTCCAAAGCGTGTGAAAACACATTCAATTTGTGAGACGGTGATAAAGATTATCTATAAGATAAAAATATTATCTATAACTAGAATTCTTCTTAAGGCTAAACTTAAGAAAACCGATAACGAGGAAGTCTATTTCTGTGCTCTCAGAGTGCAAATGTCTAACACTTCTTCTCATAGGTGTTCTAGAAAAGAATTACTTGTCGAATAACAGGTGGTCATTGTTATGTTTCCTGTATAAAGTCAGAACGAAAATAATTACTTCTTTTAATAATCTGAGTATTATACTTGGATAATGAATATGTTCTACTGTGAACTTTATGAAAAACTGATAAATGCAAGCCAAACAAAAATTCTGCGATTTGATATCACATAACACATCATCACGAAATACAAGTTAACATTTAATCTTAGTTTATAGCAATATATTATCCAGTGATAAAATCAAACGTTTTGATTTTATTGGGCCCTTCTTTTGTTCTGTCTGCTAATGTTTCGAATACAATTTGTTAGAGATAACAACACCCGTAAATCTGCAAAAAATGTGGAACGCTTCACGATTTTGCGTGTCATCCTTGCGCAGGGGCCATGCTAATCTTCTCTGTATCGTTCCAATTTTAGTATATGTATCCGAAGATACACCGACGTTGTTTATCTCGGCACCTCTTATACGCGTCACAGGGATCACTATTTTGGTGACGGGGTCTAGTCGAGCGACGCTTCAAACTGTGACACTATCAGCATTATCTTTTGTAAGATTTGTAAATGGCAATGAAATATGCCGGGATCTACAATTTTTCTATAATACGTATCATGCTGAAAGTTAAGCATTTCCAGTAAAATCATGCAATTTTTGCTCCGGGATCGCGGCGACCAGGCTGTTCGAAAACTGAGTTTTGGCGCGCCTTAGTGTATTCAAAATGATCGAGGGCCACGAGCGCCACTAGCAGACGACCCAGCGAAACAATGATGTCGTCGAATTGGGTTTTGGCGTATTGCGCTGCTTACTTCGAGCGCTGGCTACAATTAGAGTGACCAATTCTAAGGGCTGTATCACTGCCGGAAGGCGCAATGCTTTTAGCAAAGCTATAGCTCTATGTTAGAAAAGCTTTAAACATCAGCCGTTATTATTGACAAGAGCGGTGGCATTCAAGCTAATTAACTGTCAGTTAAAATGACACGTTACCACACATGCATTACGCACCTATCTTTGATGAAATAGCTGTATAGCAATTCACGAGGCCATACTTCCTTAAAAAATCTCTATGTGGCATAATGATCTACACATTTCCCCAGCATAAAAGGGTTATTATATATTTAGAAATATAAAAAATATTAGAAGATGTATCCTTCTCATATTTGAGATAATGCTGTATACTTTGTTGAGATTATTTCTAACTCCCTATTGCGCAGTATAATGCATTGACGAAGTAGAA